TTTTTTTTTTTTTTTTTTTTTTTTTTTTTTTTTTTTTTTTTTACAATGTCAGTCATTTATAGCACAAATCAGAGGAGATGCCTCTCTTGGGGCAGAAAGATCTGGAGGAAGATTGTTCAACAATTTAAAAGTGATAGACAACAAATCATAAATAGCAGGCTTAAGGATGGGAACAATTGAGATTTCACTTAGGTTCACTTCACAAACTGAGTGCATATCAGTGAACAAAACAGTTGAAGCACTAAAATCTTATGGGGGATTTCAAGACCATAAAAAGCAAGTGCTTGATTGGCTGAGAGAGAAAAGATTTGGGAGGAAAGATGATTCTACCACTGCTATAAACAGAAATTAAGCATAGTTCAATGGATCTGAGTGAATAAGTAGCCAGGTAGGTGGTGTTAATATCCGTATACAATGTTTTAAGCTCAAAAATGTAATCATAGCCTCTCAAAAGAATATTAGTTGATATGGAAATGGTATTTGTAAAAGGAGGGTACATTGACAGAGGCAGAAAGGAGATAAGGAAGAGCAATAGAATCTGCTATATCCATGTGTAAAATTGTCAAATAATAGATTTAAAAAATAAGTAATGGTGTTTGATGAAATCCCATTTGACAAAACTATAGTGTGATCAAGAAGGAAAGGTTATACTTTCAAAGCTAATGAACGAATAAGAATTGGGGAAAGAATAAGAGAGGGAGCCTGGGGAGCTAACTGGATATATATTATAGAAATCAAGAGAAAGAAGCTTGGCAAAGAATAGATGGGGTGTTGTCAAAAAAATTCTAACAAGTCAATAAATGGTGTTTCCTTTATATTTGGCAATTTGGCATTCATTAAGGATTTTGTGGTGATGCCATAAGTATCTTGAGGCACAAACGCTGAGCAAAAGGAATGATGGTTGGCTAAAACAATGGAATGCAAATTAAAAAGAAAGGCACTCCAAAGTTGCATAATTACAAGGTTACTGGAAGCTATCAACCAGATTAGAAGATTTTAATTAGAACACTAGCATGGCCTTTGAAGAATGTAAAATCATTTTTCATCTTGGAAGCATTTCCTTTACTGGAATGCAAACTCATTAAAAAATAATGATCACTAACAATTCCTTAATAGAAGTGTGGACCTTTTGTTAAGTAACAAAGAAACTATTTAAATGAATTTATAGACTTGAAATTATTCTGTCGCATGGAGATGGGATCACATGTTCTTGTTTACTATGTTCAACCCAGGGTATAAAAGCATTCAGGAAAGCTAGGCAAATACACACCACACTCAGTTCATCTCCAGTGCAAATCAGTTTATCTCTCCCAAACCATGAGCTACTACAGCGGCTACTACGGAGGCCTGGGCTCTGGCTATGGTGGCTTTGGAGGCCTGGGCTACGGCTATGGAGGCTATGGCTGTGGATGTAATGGCATCCGCAGATTGGGCTATGGCTGTGGTTGTGGAGGTTACGGATATGGCTCTGGCTTTGGAGGCTATGGGTATGGCTCTGGCTTCGGAGGCTACGGCTATGGCTGCTGTCGCCCTTCATGCTGTGGTGGATATCGTTTCTCCAGATTCTACTGAGTGAGCTGCTGATCTTCAGTCTACCTTCCTTATACCGTTTATCTTCAGAAAGGAAAATGCTGTCTTTGTTAGAGAAGACATTTATGGTTTATTGACTTATTGCTCTGAAAGGAACTGGTTATCAATCACTCTGGAAGAATCCAGACTCTCCCCAATTGAATTTATAGATTCATCTATCATATGCAGTCACTAACATTTGTTGTGGCTCTTCATGGTCTATAATTTAAATTCATCATAATAAACATGATTAACTGACCTAACAAGCATGAATCTGTCATTTTTTCAATACATTATAATCCAGAATATGGACTTACAGTCAGGATATCAGTTCTTTGTATCAGTCAATGATTTGCTTCACTAATATTTTATTTAATAATAAATTCAATTCAAATTACACCTACTGTTTGACTTCCTGTGCTGTATATCATCCTAAACATAGAAGATATGAAGGTATGTGATAGGTTAAAACATGATTACCTTCATCTGTCTCTTCTTTTATTTTCAGTAGTTGTTTTAATTTCCTTTTTTTGTTGAAAGTAGATTTTTTTCATATAATATGATTATAGTGACCCTCTACCAACTCTTTCTAGATATTCCCCATTTCATTAACCATAAAAAATCACAGCAATTCTTTCTCCCCTCATTAGAAAACAGACATCTAAAACATAATAATACAAATAATAATGATAATAATAAATAGAATAAAATAAAAATAAAACAGGATAAAAACAAACAAACAAGCAAAAAATAGCCAAAGAAAAAAGTACAGACCAGTTTTATAATCTGATTCTGTTCACAATTTATGTCTAAGATTTGGTCTCATATAATTACTTATTCCAAAGTATTTGTTGGTTAAAAAATAATATTTGCTCTCAAAAAGTAACATTTCCCATGAACATCACAATGAAGTTTCAATCTCATGATATCTTTTACATATAATCAATTCAGTTTTGAATACTGAACAACTTACACCAGCTCTGCTGCTTAAGAAGTAAGGTTCACTTAATTCACTTTTTAGTTTTGTAAAGTGTGAAGCTTCTGCTGTCCTAAAGGTGCTGCTTGTCTAATCTAAGTTCCAGAAATCTCTGAATTAAAAATACCTGGAATGCATTTTCCAGTTTAGTTTTCTGGAGTGTATGGTGAGGCAATGTTTTTGTGAGGTATATAATTAGATCTACAGATTTTATATTATTCAATATCTCTTAGGGGAAAGACAGTCTGTGATTTAACTAATGTCTTAATGTTTTGAATTACAGTCTCTCTTCCTTCTTCTCTCTCCCTTTCTCTTTTATGGATGAGTTCTTGAGTCCAGGATATACCAGAACTTAAGGATGTGCTTGGACTTCTGATCTCTTTGCCACTACCTCCTGCATGCTGGAATATGTGAAAATACTGCCTTACCATGTACATAGAATGCAGAAGAACAAATCCGGGACTTCACGTTAGGCAATGAGTCTGACAAGTGAAAGACATTTCCACCTGAATTATAATTTTCTTAATATCCACTTCTCCTCTCATCCTCTTCTTTAGGAGTGAAATTTGAGTCCTAGTCAGGTAACTTTCACTCTCAACAGAATGCCACCTGAGAAAGCACAAAGGGTTTATAGACCTAAAAGATTTGCAAGAGAATAACATCAATTAACAAAACAATGGACAGCAACATCACTTTCTCTATTATATTATTATAATATATTATATATTGTTGTATTATTATATTTAAGATAATATTTATTTAATAATATTGAATAAATTTTCCTCCCATTTATTTATGCTGTTATGGTTTGTTTCTTGCTTAACTTCTTTTCAAATATGGCAATAATTATTTGATAATTTTTTTAAATGGCTGCTTAGTGTATTTTTTATGTTTATGCATTTATTTTTAATTTTCGGTAGTGTTGTACATTAGCACAATGCATTGTGATTACACTCAACCACAACACTCTCACATCTCCTCATTTCCCTTCAACTTCTGTCATCCCCATTGCTCTTCCTCTTCCTGCTCTCATGACTAGGCTTTTCCCGGCTCCCCTCTCCTTTCCCCCATTCCTTTGCAGGTTACATTCAGGAAGGCACAGCTACTGCATGCTCATAATTACAATGTCCGTGTCGTATTGAGCAGTCACACTCAACGTTATTCTTCCTTGCTCTTCAGTTCCCTCCATTCTTTCCACCCCTCTTCCACAATGCTTTCTCTGCCTTGAAATTGTACCATATATGTCCCATTTGGGGTTATTTTATTTTTAGTTGAAAGATAAATTTTTACATATTTATTAACAATGTGATTTTTGTATCTGACAAAGCATAGAATGACTGAATAAGACTGATTAATAAATCCATCACTTATTATACTTAATATTTGGCATTCTTTGATACTTTAAGATTTACAGCTTTGTTGCTAATTTTGATGTTTTAGATAGGCTATTTTTTGGTACATATTATACCACTAATTTATATTATATATAAATGACTTAAAAAACTATATTTAGAAATATACAATGTATCTACATATATATATATATATATATATATATATATATATATATACTTATACAACAATTAATGGAAAGGGGCCATGATCTGAAAAAGAGCACGGGGTGGTATATGGGATTATTGTGAGGGAGGAAAGAAGTGGACAAACAAAGTGATTATTTATATTGTTCTAATATTAAATAAAACAAGGGAGTCAGATATTGGGGTAAAATATAATTGATACAAAGAGTTATGAAGGAATGATTACATGAACCTGCCTCTCCACACTTTTCAGATTGAAGAGACTTGTGAATCTTTCTAAACCCTTACC